TGAGCCTGTTGATGGAAATGAGGTTGGAAAGAGAATGATTGAATTTTATATTTAAAATTATTTATTCATTTCCCTGGGCTGATCACATCCTGACAGCAGCGCTTTTCCCAATTTCCAAGCAAACTGCCGTCCTCTCAGTGTCCTTAAAGAGCTCTTATAAAAGGAAGCTCTTGTTTACCTGCAGGTCATTCTGACCTTCTTTGGGAGCAATCACCTGGCTTCCCTCTCAGACCATTTCATAAAGGCCTCTTAATTTCTTGGGACCAGTTTCTTCTTTTTGTTCTCTCTAAGCTTCCCCCCCCCCCTCGGTGATTTTAATCTGCAGCCCTGAGGCCTGATTTTAACTGTTTTGGTCAAACATTCTTCTAAGTGGTTTAGCACTGGTCTGTCCATTTGTTGTACAGAGGTAACTCATGTTTGCTGTGATGCTAAACAACCGACACTGATATGTCAAATGTAAGAACAGTTACTCATGGTGGACAGTGTTTGGTGGGGCTCCCCATTAAAACAAGCTTGGAAGCAGGAGTGGCATCCACTTCCAAAATAGCTTGCCTCTGGAAACCCTATGAAATTGGAGACGCAATGAAAGTTATACAAGTGTTCAGGTCTTTCGTTCATAGGGTCGCTAGGAGTCATCTACAACTCAATGGCACTTAACAACAACATAGTCCTTCAAATCTGTTTTGGAAAATATTGAGGAAAGAAACCATAGTGCCACTGTTGTAGAATGGGACTGACAATCAGGATTGGGGTAAGAATGAGAAAAATTGGATAAATTATGTATACTGCTTTGAAACGGATGAGGGAGAAAACAATTCAAAAGCAATATATTATATGGTATTATGATTATCATAAGAGTTTGGAATGAAGGTTGCAGAGTGGAGTATACTCGGGGTGGCGGGAGTTAGGGAGTGCGAAAGGATTGTATACCAATGAAGTAAATTTTCTTTTACTTTTGAAAGAGAAGAGTGAACTGGGGGTGAGCAAGGGGTGGGCAGGGAGAAAAGTGCAACAATGAATGAATGGAAATCCAAAATCTCTGCAAATATTCAGTAAAATTAATAACTTTTTAAAAAAAGGAAGAAGAAACCAAACAACAAAATACACTTTGAAATAAAGAGGACTAATTTATATTTACCATGGACCACTAAGAGAAAAAAACAGGCCTGTTTTAGAGAGGGTGAAACCAAGTTTCTCCTTGCAAGCAAGGATTTCAAAACTCCAACTCACATACTTTGGGCACATGGCCAGAAGGGACCAGTTCTTGGAAAAGGACATCATGCTTAGAAAGGTAGAGGGACAGTTCAGGAGAGGAAGACCCCAGATGAGATGGATTGACAGGATAACTGAGGCTATGGGATTAGGTGTGTCGAGTCAGTGAGCCTGGCTGTTGTAGATAGGGTCACTATGAGTCGCAGGTGACTCGACAGCACGTTACAACAATAAACAAGGTACTGCTGAGAGATGAATAATGAATAAGTATAATAGAAGAATTAATGTCTTTGAACTCTAGTATTGGAGAAAAATACCGAATATCCATGGACTTCCAAAAGAAAAAACAGATGTGTCTTGGGGAAAGTTCTGTCAGAGTGCTCGTTGGAGGCAAAGTTTTTTGGGTTGGTTTGTGTGTGTGTGTGTATGTGTGTGGTGTGTGTGTGTGTGTGTGTGTGTGCATCCTTTTTTAATTTTTATTCATTTTAATCAAAGTTTACAGAGACATTTCTCCCTGCCCACCTCTTCCACCCAGTTATCTCTTCTCTTTGAAAAGTAAAAGAAAAATTCTTTCACTGTTATACAATCCCTCCTCCAAATCCCCTCCACTATGCAGCCTTCATTCTGGACTCCTGTGTGACAAAGTTGATAAAGCTTCATCCCACATACGTTGGGCATATCACTAGGAGAGGTTATTCCTTGGAGATACAAAGGTGGAGGGTCAGCAATAGAGAGGAAGACCCTCAACCTAATGGATTGACACAGTGACTGCAATAATAGACTCTAGTGTGTCAGAGATTGTGAGGATGGAACAGGATCGGACAGCTTTTATATCTGTTCTTCATAGGGACTCTATAAATCATACTTGACTCAATATCACCTAACAACAACAAACGGCAAGGAACATATCATTAAACCCCATTAGCCCTCTGAATGAGGTTGTGTCTCCCCTATTGTGGTTGAGTCAGAACTGACTCAAGGCTGACCCTCCAGCAGGTTTTTTGAGGTTACAAGTCAAACTGGAAAAGATTGTCTATCTTTCTCCTGCTGAGGCACTGGTGGATTAGAATGATCAGAAAACGTTAAGTTTTGGGTTATCAGAACAACATACCTCACCCCCAGAGCTGAATGAGTTTATATACATTTCATTTTTATATATGAGAGAAATTAATTACTTTCAACTATTATATATTTGTGAAAGTCATTTAACTGACTTAGAGTCTGATGGTAACTCTCCAACCCTTTGATTTTTCAATCTGACGTCCCTTCTCCATGCTGTATAGCACACAGGTTGATGTGCCTGGATCAGTGATTAGTTCTAACTTGGGGCTTTTGTTCTTGTTGTTGTTAGTGTCATCAAGTCAACTGCAGCTCATACCTGCTCTCTGAAAAACAGATCTGAACCTTGCTTCACAATATGATCAAACCCATCGTTACAGTCTCTGTGCCAATGTATCTTATTGAAGGTCTTACTCTAGTTCTCTGACCTTTGCCAGCATGATGTCTTTTTTGCAAGGACTTTGCATTGCCTACAACATGCTCAAAGTGCATGAGACAATGTTTCTATATTCTTTCCTCTAAGGAGCATCCACTCTGGTTGCACTTCCTTCAGGAAAGACTTGTTTATTCTTTTGGCAGTCTATGGGATATTTGATACTCTTCTACAACAATTCAAAACACTAATTCTACTTCTGTCATTTTTAGTCATTGTCCAAATTTCATATGGATGGAAGCTCAACATCAAGAAAGCACAGATTCTTACCACTAGGCCAATTAGCAACACAATGATGGGTACAGAAGAGATTGAGACTGTTAATAATAACAGCTTGCTTGGCTGCACAATCAATACTCTTGGCACCAGCAGTCAAGAAATCAAAACACAAATTGCATTAGGTATATATGCTGTCAGGGACCTAGCCAGAGTTCGGAGACACAATGATATCAGTCTAGAGACTAAGGTGCACCTGATCCAGGCCATAGTCTTCACAATTACTTGCTATGCATCAGAGAGCTATACAATGACATCATTGAAATGAAAGGATGACATCAGGTGCCTTTGAGTTGTGGTGCTGGAGAAGAGTCTTGAATATACCATGCACTGCCAAGAAAACAAATATGTCTGTCTTGGAGAAGGTGAAACCAAATTTCTCCTTGGAGGATTAGATTTTGAACCTCTGTCTCACATACTTTGGGCACATGACAAGGAAGGACTGATCCTTGGAGAAGAACATCATGCTCAGAAGTATGGAGGGAGAGCATAGGAGAGGAAGACCCTGGAGGAGATGGATCAACACAGTAACTAGAGCAAGGGGGATAGGTGTCAGAGTCACTAAGATTGGCTCAGGATAGGACAGGCTTCAGAGCTGTTGTATATAGGGTCTCTATGGTTCACAGGCAACCGGATGGCACATTAAAACAACAACAAGTAACTTGTTGTAAAGAAGAGTTTTATTTCCTGTTCTTCATTTTACAGCTTTCATATCACACTGGTTAGGAGAGCCCTGGAGAGAGGAGGGTGGGCAACCCCTCTGAAAGAATAGTTTTTTCTGTTGTTGTTTTGCATGTTTAGTATAGAAGAAGTTCTTTTTATTCCTTGGGACATCATGGCCTTGAAATATGCACACAACCTTTAAATTGTGTCTATTAAATTAGAGCAGGGGGCTTTGACACCAAGGAATTCAGATATCCTGGGATTATAATAGTAATTCCCAGCCATATTCTGGGCATTATTTTGCTAATCATAACTGAGCAACTGTAAATTACTGTTATATTAATGTTTTAAAGCACTGAGATAGTTTAATTACAACTTGTAATTAGTTGTTTGCCAATTATTTGTTTGAAATAAATTTGTGTTTGAACAGCTACTTAAACTGTTAAATTGTATTATTCATGACAGCTTTGTACTGTGGAATGTACTTAATAAAAAAATTTTGACCTTTGTCCAATAAATTGCCAAGTAATATCAATAAAGCAAGTATGAGTATTGGGCAGTACATGTAAAAAAAAAAAAAGAAAAGAAAAAGAAAAGTAAAAGAGGAGAGGGGAGAGGAGAGAAAAAAAAGAAAAAGAAGAGTCTTTAAACTCTTGAAGACCACATTCTAACCACTCAATCTCAATTGGTGTGGAGGTAGTACGTGCTGCTAAGGAGAATAGCCCTGCACATTCCTGTTCAGTCTTGAAAGCACATATCTCAGACATAGTAATTTTGTTCAGCATTGACCCTCCCTGACTGCAGAATATCTACAGAGTCCATGAGAATTTGAAATTATTTCCAGCATTTTCACTTTTTTTGGATCAGAATTCTTATTTGGAATCTTTGATCAAAATGTTCAGTATCTCCTCAGGGAGATCTGATCTCATGACAAAGAAGGCAGTTATGCCTTGAGGACACATTCTATTTCTGGCTTTCCTTTTTTGTTTTATCCTGGGAGGCCTGATCTTTTGACCTTTGACCAGACTTGTCAACTTCCTCTCAATAAATACACAAACACATTATCTTATCCTCTTTATATATATAAAAGTCATTCCCTAGAGATTCTCTTGCAAATTGAGAAGGTCAAGGGAAATTACTGATGAAGTTTGTATCATTTTCACACTGAATTTTGGTGAATATTCTTGGTGTCATTTAGATACAAAAAAGGAGCCACGTACAGGAATACTCAAACATGAGTCACCAAACACACATCATGATCTAAGCATCGTCATTCTATATAAGTCCTGCTATTTGAAAGTAGAGAGAAAAAGACAATAGAGAGAGAAGGTGGCTTCTTTTAGTGAAGACAACGAGAATGAAGAGTATTATCATCTTTGTGCTATTATGTCCATCAGTTCTCTTGGCTTACACACTGGACAAGACAGTGAGGAAAGATTCAAACATCGACGTTGTCCAGGTAATTAATGATAAAAACTACGACAACTCTGACCAGCCCAAGTGGAGAAGTAAATGTGTTCATTTGATTTTCCAACACAAAGTAGAATGTTTTGAGTTTAGATTTTATTGTGTTGGGATAACTTAAAATCAGGTAATATTAAGTACTAGGATGTAGAAAGTCTTTTCATTTTAATGGAGAAAGAAAAAGAAACCCAAGAACATATAATTTTTGAAGGTGACGATAAAGCCACCGAGAAACAATCATACCACCATCAAGATACAATAATGAAAAAAGAAGTCTTAATGAAATATCACATACAGGGTGCTACTTACTTTTGCTTTAACTAGAGGATAATTAAAGCATAACATTAAATTCGAGCAATTCTACACAGTTATAAAAATTACTATGAGGTTTTTTTATTTTATTAGGAAAACCTTGAAAATGGCTATAATCAGGGGAAGGATATAAAACAATTTGTGGGAAGAAATGACAGCAGTGCTGTGGTTAAAAAAATCCAGGAAATGCAGAGGTCCTCTGGGTTGAAGGTGATGAAGAAGCGGGACTCTGGCATCCTAGAGGAGACACTTGTGCCCATATGTGGAAGATCCATGGTTGGTCAATTCTCTAGATTACCTCGTACAACCAAGTGGAAGAAAACTAACATTACATACAGGTAATGGTTCCACAGATGTCCTTACATATGGTGAAAACATTTATAGTTACTGTCACAGAAGAACATATCTGCTCTTTTCCTCCTACAGAATTACGAACTACACATCAAAGCTGTCACGTTATTCTGTTGATTCTGCCATTGAGAAAGCTCTGAAACTCTGGAAGGCGGTGACTCCTCTCACATTCACCAGGCTTTATGATGAAGAAGCTGACATAATGATCTCTTTTATGAGGAGAGGTAAAAAAAGAACAAAAATTAAAATAATTTTTGAAATATACATATACATTTTGCAGATGTTACTTTATTAGAAAACACCAGAATGAAATTCTAATCTCCTGTTTGTCCAATATAATTTTTTTTTGCCTGTTAGATCATAAAGACTTTGGATCTTCTGAGGTAGATAACTCTTCTCTGGCTCATGCCTATTTGCCTGGAAGAGGGTTAGGTGGAGATATTCATTTCTATGATGATATACAATGGACAGGAGATTATTCAGGTGAGTCATAAATCTCTTGAGTTACTTCAGAAATAAGCCTCAGCTCTGTCTAGAAATAATTTAAATATCCGAAATTAGTAGTAAAAGAAATGTTTTATGTAGCTGTTACTTGTTAATATTTGAGTAGAAACCCGAAGCCCTCTTTGTTCCAATACTTGAAAAAGAATTTTATAAAATGGCTGCATTTATTTCCTTTACTGTGTATTATTTCAAGCATAATATGCACCACTTAAATTTATTTCAGTAATGGAGCTCTGGCGGCCTTTGTTAGGAGTTGCTTTGACAGCCAAAGGTACACTGATTCCACCAGTTGCTCAGTTGGAGACAGATGGAAGGTAGCTCTGAGTCACTTTGAGTATACAAACACTTACTCATTACCATCAAGATAGAATCCATTCATAGCTGACCTTCATGCAGGTTTTCAGGAGGCTATCTCTACATATCTATAGCTATATATCTATATATGTATCTATATCTCTATCTGTATATATATCTGTATCTATAATTAGTTATGTATGACTAAAGTCCATAAACAAACTAAAAATAATTGTGTTATTATATATATGTTTATATATTTATAAATAATTTTTTCAAATTATTTCTAAAGTTTATAAATATTTTGTTGAGACAGTCATTACTTCTAAAATTGATTGAAATCTTTATTATTGTTAGAAAGATTTCATACCTGATGCTTGTGCTGAATGGGATGATCTACTTCATTTGAGAAACTTCTTCATATAATTGCCTAGAGTTTTATTTAAATACATTCCAGTACTAATTTCCATAAGGCTCTCTTTATAATATAAAGATAAGTTAAATCCGGTTATCTTTATTTCTAGAAACAAAGTCATGTCCCTGTTTTATTTATACCTCAAATTGTACCTTCTACAGAGAGGTTTTGGCTACCAAAAATTATTTCATATTTCAAAAATTATGATTAAAAATAGATAGAACAGCTCAGGTTAAGAGCAATTGGAAATAACAGCTTTGTAGCTAAGAGTTTGAATAATAGTCTGAATTAATAATAGCTTGTGAGCCATTGTGTAATTATTGGTTTCCATGGATCTGGAGCATGTAAAAAAGAGCACTCAAAGCAGAATCCTGTCTAAAAAACAGTGTACACAGCCATGTTCTTACATACCTTGAGACCAAAAAAAAAAGAGCTAGTTGATGCCAAATATCACTCCTGACCACTGTCAATAGGACCACAACAGATGGAGAATGAGAGAATGAGAGAAGAGTGTGGAACAGAACCTTAAATCCCTAAAAACAAAGAAAACCTTAAAGCAGAGAAGTAGACTCACTGTCTTGTTGAGGGTGGAACAATTGCCTTGAGAGATTCTTCAAGCCTTGGACTAAATTCAACACCTGAGATCAGCTTATAGAAAACAGGTTATCATTGTGGGGCACCATTGAGTCAGAACTGACCCATAGCTGACCTTCTGGGAGATTTTCAGAAGCTGAAAATCACAAGGGAAGAGATTGTCCATCCTTCTGCAGAGCAGCTGATGAATTCAAATCATGTGCCTTTGAGATTGCAGCAAAGCTCCTCACCACTTGGCTACCAGAGCTAACCTACAAAATAACCAATATCACCCATAAATAGTATTGTCCTAAAAAAAATTACCTACATAACTAAAGGAAGCTCTTGGTGGCCTAGTGGTAAGGAGCTGTGCTGCAATCCCAAAGGCACATGATTTAAACCACCAGAATCTCCAAGGGAAAGAGATGGGCAAGCTCCCCTGTGCCATTGACTGCCCGTGAAAACCCTCTGAATTTTCCACTACGAGTCAATTCTGCCTTGAGAGTACACAAAAACAACAACATATGAATAAAATGGTCCACAATTAATTTAAAACTCAGATGAGGCTGTAATAGTACAGGAAAGCTGGATTAATGGAAATTAAACAATGGTCATAGAAATAGAGAATGTTCCTGAATTATTGACATTGTAACAATTTTTACTACACAGTTTGGGTAGAATTTGCTGAACAGTAACTAGAATGCTGTGTGAACCTTTACAAAAAAGCAGGGAAACATGTTGTGTTTTAAAAAGAATTTGAGGAATAAAAAGAATACTATATGATTCATATCTGTTGAACTCATCATGACTTCTTGCTGTTGTTAGGTACTCTCGAGTCAAATACGCTGATACTGACCCTATGAATAACAGATGTGAGCCCTGTCCTATTCTGTATCTGCCTCACCATTCCCGACACACTAGAGTCCATTGCAGCAGACACTGTGTCAATCCACCTGGTTGAGGGTCTTTCTCTCCTTCGCCAACTCTCTCCCCGCGCAAGCATCATGTCACTATTCAAGAAATATTTCCTCCTAGAAACAAACTTGAAGTATATGAAGTGAAATTTTATGATCTTTACCCTCAAATATCACTCTGGCTACACCTCTCCAACACATATTTGTTTGTAATTTTAGCAGTCAATGGGATGTTCAGTAACGTTCTACAATACTACAGTTCAAAGGCATCAATTTTTCTTCAGTCATTCTTAATCATTGTCTACCTCTCAGATGCATATCAAGTGATTGGAAAGACTGTAGCTTGAATCAGATGCACCTTAGTCCTCAAACTGAAATTACTACTCCGCAATAATTTGGAGAGGCCCCTAACTATAAACTTTCCCAGTTCAATACGTCTCCTAGTTTCCTGACTGCTGGTACCAAGTGTATTGACTGTGGATCTAAGTAAGATGAAGTTGTTTTAGGGTTGACCAGTGATAAGAATCTGGTTTCTTGACATTAAGATACAATCCATAGTGAAGGCTGTGTTCTTTGATGTTTTGCAACAAGTACTTCAAGTCCTCAGCATTTTCAGCAAGTAAGGTTGTGTCATCTGAATAGTGCAGGTTATTGATTAGTTTCCCTCTGATTCTGATGCTTATAATTCTTGACAATAAGTTTGAAGCATTGAATACCAATGATGTTCCAGATTAATTGTGAGATACTATTAAGGATATCATCCACAAAGAGAGGAAAAGGTCATTACAGAAACAGATGAGAAAGAAAAACCCAAAATAAATATCAGAAGAGATTCTGAATATTGCACTAAAATGTTGAATAAAAGAGCTGAATGCATGATTTCAAAGGGCAGCTTGAGAAAACAAAGTATTATAATAAAGCATGCAGAGAGCTAGAATTGAAATTGTCATGAGTACATATTAATAAACTTGAGAAATTTCCAATTTTTTTAGAGGCAAAAAGGATTAACTTTACTGGAATTCTATTAGTCTTAATCTCTCCAAAGTATTGTCTTTTGCAAACCAAGTTTATCACTGTCAATGTAGGAAAAGTGAGCTGGTTTTCAGGATCAAGGAGAGGACAAAGGAGTGATATGGTGAAAATCTGTCTTAGATATTTTCTTCAAGTCAACCTAAAAACTTACTTCTATGAAGTATGTGTGCCAATAAGTGAATCATCCCACAAGTAAGATTAAGCTGACATGAATTACATATGGTATTGAAGAGCATTGATGAGCTAAAGAGCTGAATCTTTATGATTTTTCACATAGGGAAAAATTTTCTCCAAGTGGCTGTTCATGAAGTTGGTCATGCCCTGGGTCTCTATCATTCAAACAACCCTGAAGCTTTGATGTACACATTCTACATGAAACCAGAAAAACAATCCATGTTGTGCCTTTCTCAGGATGACGTGAAACAAATTCAATATCTCTATGGTGAGTGATATTTGGAAAAATAAGGTATGTGATGCTACTGGAGACATTCCTCTAGGTCGTATAGCCCTGGTGTACAAGTTGCCATACTGGGGTCACTTGTGGTTGATGAACACTGTGACACTGATGTGTCAAATGCATTAATGGCTGGTTACCCAATGCGGACTGAGAGTGGGGTGGAGCTTCCTGATTAAACAAGCGTGGAAGGAGGAGTGGCATCCACTTCCATAATAGCTTGCCTCCGGAAACCCTAAGAACCTGAAGAGAGGAAGAAAGGCACCCAAGCGTCGAGGACTCTCCTTCATAGGGTCTCTATGAGTCGCCTGCGGCTCGACGGCACTTAACAACAACAACAATGCTACTGGAAAACATTACAATTGCAATCTTCAGAATTGCAATGGTGGAAACATGAAATAATACATGAAATTTCAAATGCTTGAAAAGCATAGCAATTAACATAGTATCCCATTTCTTCTAAGATTTATACTCTTACATCTCTTCTCTTTAGGACCTCCACCTTCCTGCTCTAATAAAACCACGATGCCCGAGGAATCCATTTCTACAAAATCTCAGCCACCAGTCAAGTGTGATCCTAACTTGTCATTTGATGCAGTCACTACTATGAGAGGAGAAACTCTCTTCTTTAAAACCAAGTGAGACTGGAATGTTGGGTTCCCGCCACCCCTTCTCTATTGTGTACAGATTTGCATTTCTAACACAAAGGTCATTGCTCTCTGGCAGTTTGAATTAACCAGTAGCTTCTAGGGGAAAAGTTTTGCAGTTTCTCCTTTTGCAACTGACAGCCTTGGAAATCCAATTGTGTAGTTAGCTATGAGTTGGTTATGACTCGACAGCAATGAATTGAGTTTTTAAATTATTATTCTTTTAGCCTGCAATGTTTAGATAGGAAAACAATAGCAAAAATTTGACAGGTATAAAAATCAAATGTTTCCTCTAAGGTTTAATATCATTCCAATTTAGTGCTTAAAGCATTTTTTTAAAAAATTCATGAAAGTTTACAGAAATTTTTATTTCCATTCATTCATTGTTGCACACTTTCCTCCCTGCCCACCCCTCCCCCCCCAGTTAGCTTTTCTCTTTGAAAAGTAAAAAAAAAATTCTTCCATTGTTATACCACCACCACCACCACCACCCCACCACCCCACCACCCCAAATCCACTCCACTATGCAGTTTTCATTCTGGACTCTTGTCATGACAATAATACCTAGTCATATATTCCTCCTAAACAGTTCTCTCCCTCATCTGTTTAAATGCAGTAAACATTATTTATCCCTTCTTAGTTTCCCCCAACCCCATTATCAGTCCCACCTTACAACATTGGCACTATGTAGTATTAGTCTTTTTGTAACTGAAATATTTCACTCAGCATCATATTCTCCAGGGTCACTCATTTTGCATACTATTTCATGATTTCCTTGGTTTTCTTTTTTTTTCAATGCAGCATAGTATTCCATTGTGTGACTATACCAGTTTCTGAATCCATTCATTTGTTGTTGGGCACTTGTGTTGTTTCCAACTCTTTGCTATTGTGAACAAAGCCGCAATAAACTTGGGTGTGCATATATTTGCTTGGGTGGTAGTTCTGGTTTCTTGAGAGTATATTCCCAGTATTGGGATTGCTGAGTCAGATGATATTTCTATTTCCAACTTTTTGAGAAAATATCATACAACCTTCCATAATGGTTGCACCATTTTACACTCCCACCAACAGTGAATAAGAGTTCCAGTTTCTCCACAACCTCACCAGCATTTGTTGTTTGCTGTTCTGTTAAATTTTACTGTTCTTACTGGTGTGAGACCATATCTCATAGTCATTTTGATTTGCATCTCTCTTAGAGCTAGGGATTTTGAACATTTCTTTTTGTGTTTGTTCACCATCTGTGTGTCTTCTTTGGTGAAGTGTCTATTCATAGCCTTGCTCATTTTTCAATTGGGTTATTTACCTTTATCTTGTTGTGGTGCTCAGGTATTTTATAAATTCTAGATATAAGTTCCTTATCAGACATGCCATTGCCAAATTTTTTTTCTCAGTCTGTGTCTTCCTTTTTTACCCTGTTGGAGAAGTTTTTGGATGTGCTTAGGGATTTTATTCTTAGAAGGTCCCATTCATCTGTTTTATCCTCTCTTTGTTATAGGTTCTTATTGCATTTTTAACTTCTTAACATTGTTTAGATAATTTTTTAACTGACTTAACAAATAGGAATTTTGGTCCGTGCAATATAAAGTCAATGAAAAAATATAGTTCAATATAAAGTCACTTACATATACCCCAAACTGGAATTGACATACAATAGATTATTTGAATAAATTAATAATTAATAAATGTGAATAATTTAAATAAATTCATAATTGTTGTTGTTGTTATTAAGTGCCACCGAGTCATAGGCGAACCATATCAATTCATGAACGAAAGTCAACACTTGTGTGACTTTCATCATTTCAATTAAGTAGTAATTCTTGTCAGTGCAATACAAAGTCCATAAAAAATAGTTCAATATAAAGTCACTTACGCATGCTCCAAACTGGAATAGACCTAGCACATACAATATATAATTTGAATAAATTAATAATTATCTTTTTAGATACAATTAAAGATTAATTTCTTTTAAAAAGCATTGTTAGCTCATAAGAATAAGATGGCTTCCAATTTGGCTACTAAGTGCAACTGTGTAAATGAGTTCATAAAGGCAACTATGCAAATTAATTCATTTTGGATATGTGCTTAGGACAAAATATAGAGACAGAAGCCAGAATAAATAGCTAAAAGACTAATTTCTTTTCATCTCTCATATACATTTCCCATATATGAGCAACCACAGTTACCAATTTTCTTTGTATTTTTCCAAAGATGTTTAATTAACATACAAACATAAATAAGGGGGGTTTTTAACGTTTTTAAAATTTTTTTTGCAATGTATGAATGAGTATATTATATACATGTTGAAACAGGCTTTAGGACATAAAACAAGTTAAATAATTGCACTGTTTAGAACAATTCCTAAGATCTAAAGCACTCTGTAGAAAAGTGTAATATGCAAACAAATAGGCTCGTCTCTCTATTCTCTCAAATATCTAATGGAGAATGTCATCTTCAATTTTTATGTATTACAGACATTTTTGGAGACTAATGAAACGATTTCCTGAACCTGTACTGCTTCGTATTTCCTCACATTGGCCCTCTCTTCCATCAAGGTTGGACGCTGCATATGAGGCTCATGCCAAGGATACTGTCTTTATATTTAAAGGTGAATAGCATATAAGAATTTTCAAGTTGTTGAAAGAAATATTGTTGCAAAAATTTCATCATGACATGAATTTATTCAATGGTGTTAAATGTTTCATGGTTTTTTGGGTCTAATTAACAAATGATCTAGTGCTACTACTTAAATATCTACATAGAACATTATATGCTTTATTTTAAAACATTCAGTGGGACCTAAATAACAGAGGAAAATGTATATTCATAGGTAGAAAAGCCCCAGTATTTTTTTAAAAAAATATCATTTATCTATAATTAGAATATAAGTCTGTCTTGGAGAGGTTGAAACCAAATTTCTCCTTGGAGGCTAGGATTTTGAAGCTCGGTCTCACATACTTTGGGCACGTGGCCAGGAGAGACAGGTCCTTGGAGAAGGACATCATGCTTGGAAGGGTGGAGGGACAGGGTAGGAGAGGAAGACCTTGATAGGTTGAATTGATACAGTGACTGGGGCAATTAGGGTTCCTGTGTCAGAATTAGTGAGATTGGCTCAGGACAGGGCAGGCTTCAGAGCTTCTGCGCATAGGGTCGCAGGAGATTGGACATAGTTACAAGGTAATTTCAATGAAAATCTTAAAAGTTATTCTTGGAACTTGCAGATGGTTCTTTTTTTTTTTTTTTTAAGAACAAAGGTGCTGAATAACTACAAAAAAGAAAAACACACTTTGTTGCACAGTACTGACTTTTATCTTTGAAGATAACACATCAGGGCATTATAAAGCTTTGGGGTTTTGAGTGCCATTGAGCCAGAACTGACCAATAGCTGACCCTTAAGCGGGTTTTTAAATTCAGTTCACTGTTAGGGAGATTACTTATACTTCTTTGTGGAGTGGCCGGTGGGTTCGAATCCAGTGCCTTCAAAATATCTTACCAGATATCTGTGATATGTAGTATTATAACAATCAAAACGCTGTTGCCACGGAATTGATTCATCCTCATAGTGACCCCGTATGATAGAGAAGAACTGCCCTCTAGGATTTCCAAAGCTACCGTCTTGGCAGAAGATGATTGACAAGTCTCTTAAGAAAGAAGTAAAGGTTTTGGAATGATAAATCTTCCAGTTAGGAGCCCAAAACTTAAATAATTGTGCCACAAGAGTCGCTCAATATTAGAGCGGGAATAGATAAATTGACTAATATTATTATCTCTCTAATAAAATAATTTTATAAGTTTATTAAATAATTAATTATAGGTTTTGCTTTGTTATAGTTTCCCTTCATTTTATTTCAATTCCATATACTTTGGAAACCTTCATAAGTTTGCTGTTTAACTCATTAAATTGCAGCTTTTCTTTTAAAATTCTTTTTAAGGAAGAAAACCAGAAATTTTATTATTTAATAATAATTTGAGTAAATGTTAAAATTAATTGGTTTTTCATCTACCCTTTACGAGTCCTGTTTATGTTGTTCTGCAGTCTTGGAGGTTCCTTCAGACTATATTGTATTGGCCCAATAAGCCTGATTTTCTTTCTTAATGTGATCATTTAAGCTTATAAATACTTTCTTCCCAACTTGTGCTTTAGCTCCTTTTCAAGAATACAAGTGTAAGTTAAACAATTTCCTTTCAATTTTTTAAAATTCAATTATAAGTTATTTGGAGAACTTTTAAATAAAAAAAAATCTAGATTATAAATCCAGATTAAGATGTCATCAACAATGAAAAGGAAAAAACTAAAATTGATGATTATAATTTATGGATAATAGGTAAAAGGCATAAAGGTCTTCTTATTTATTCATTGATTAATTAAAGCACATTTATTAATAACTAGTTATTTGAATTCTTGTTAGGAATTAAAACTAAACTTTCATCTTTAATAAAATAGCACATTGAAGTCATTTCTAAAACCAAAAGCCTCCACTCAAAATGTTTTGAATTTATTTTTCAATAGCGGATCACTTTTGGGCCTTCAAAACCCTAGAGCTACAAGCAGGTTATCCAAGAAGCATCTACACACTGGGCTTTCCTCAAACAGTCAAGAAAATTGATGCAGCTTTTTCTGATAAGGATAGCGGGAAAACCTACTTTTTTGTACAGGAGAAATACTGGAGGTAATACGAAATATGAACAACTTTGTAGGAAGCCTAATTAGGGTGTTTATTATTTTTTCTAAGAAAATCTCTAAATCCTACTCTCTCCAATTTCCACTAACTTCAAATTTTCTAAAAACTGACAGTTTTTCAATGTCCTAGATATAACAGAGTTCTCATAGAAGCTGATCAGTGAGTGATATATCCAAGAACCAAAATATATCAGAAGACACCAACTCAGGTCCAGACAGCTGCTGTTGTTGTTATTGTTACTGTGTCCCTTCAAGTTAAAAATCAATCTCTAGTAGATCTTCTAATGAATTTTGAGAGGCAATAAATTGTACAGGAGGTTGTCTACATTTCACTCATAAAGGAGCTAAAGGATCTTAACTGCATATCTTTTCTTGGTTTCAAAGGAACCCCAAATATGACATGTTCTAGAGACAAAGTCTGCAGAAGTGTAGTACAGGAAAGAATCAAGAGTTTCATTTTTGACAAACAAGTTCATTTACTTTTTTTCCTGTATTTGGTCAAGTCTGTAAACCCAAATTCCAAAAGTAAATCCATTTGTCAATTAACAGATTCCCACTTATAACTACCCATAATTTTCTGAAACTTCCCATCTTTCTCCTGCAGAAGTCCTGTAGAGTTGATACGTTGGTTACCAGTGCAACAACACCTGACACACAATCCTCATATATTTTTGACTGAAAGGACCACAATTAGAAGTGGCCACAAATAGGTTTTATACATTCAGGCTTAGAAAACTAACTTCAAACACATGGTTACACCCTCTAGAATAGCAGGGTATTTCTTTCTTAGGGGAAATATGGTTTTAAATATGGAACATAATAAGCTGTGGAAAGTCGTATTTATTGTAGTCCTTTATACCACTTGCAAATATTATCCTGGATTTTACACTGGGACGTTATTGTTACTTTATACTGGTAGATAACAGGGGATTCACAAAATTCTAAACTGTATTTCTATTGGTGCAGATTTGATGAGGCTAGCCAGTCCATGGATCAAGGTTTCCCCAGACTAACAATTCAAGACTTTCCAGGAGTTAACCGAAAGATCAATGCTGCACTTAAAAATTCTGGTAAGAGGAGACTGGTTTATTTGTCAATGGGGGCACTTGTTGATATTTTAAGGTATGAAGATGAAGCAGAAAGTCAAAACAACTCTGAAATGATTCACTCTTATATCCTTTCACTCCACACTCTACAAAATTTATATAGGCTGGGTTTACATTTTATTTTCCCCATAATTTTTGCAAGTCTTTGATTCACATCAGCAACTAAAATCAAAGAATGACCTCTCACACTATAGCTATTTTCTTAAATATATTTATTTTTATTGTTGTTGAGTCAGAATCAACTCATAGCTGACCCTCCATTAGATTTCCAAGGCTGTAAATCAAGTGGAGCAGATTATTTATCTTCACTCAAGGTGTTCCCAGTAAAGTTAATTTCCAGAGAGTCACAAACTTTGGATTACACCAGAGCTCCCTTCTTATGTGATTGCTGTTGTTTCTTACTTTAAATTCAACACAAACTTTTAGTTGGCCCTCTAGTGAGTATCAAAAGTTGTAAAACACATGGAAGGAAACTATCCTTATTTCTCCATTTGAGCCATTGGTAGGATTCAAATTGCTTTCCTTTGGGTTGGCAGCACAACTCCTTATCATAGAGGCCACCAGAGTACCCCCTTCAGGTATGTTGTTGTCAAGCGCCTTCTAGTAGACTCATAGTGACCCTATAAACAATAGATTTAAACCTTGTTCTAGCCTGTGCTATCCTCATAATCTTTTCTATACATGAGCTCTTTGTTACCACCATTGCTAATTCACTTCATTGATGGTCTTCTCCTTTCTATTCATGAGGTCTTTCTGTAAAGACAGTCCCCTCCTAAAAACATGCCCAATACATACATATGAGAGGAGGTTTCACTCTTCTTACTTCTACAGAGCAACTTGGTTCCACCTTCTACAAAACATATCTCTGTTCTTTTGGCACTACATGGGACATCAGTACTCTTTTCCAGCACAATAACTCAATGTCATTTTTATGCATTGTACAACTTTCAGATTACTAGCAAATAATTTAAATATTTTAGCTGTGCCTTAGGATTTAAACTGACATAATTGCTCTTCAGCACATTGGACGTATTTATACATATATTGTTGGTGTTGTTTTATTATGTGCCATGAAATCACTATGACTCATAGCAACCCTATGGATGATAGTTCTGAACCCTGTCATCTCTTGAGCCAGTCTCACTGACTATGAAACATTTAATCCCATTGCCCTAGTTACTGTGTCAATTAATCTCATCCAAAGTCTTCCTCTCTTGGACTCTTCCTCCACCTATCCAAGCATGTCCTTCTCTAAATACTAGTCCCTTCTGGCCATGTGCTCAAAGAATATGAAACAAAGCTTAAAAATTCTTGCCTCCAAGGAGAAACTTGGTTTTATGCTCTCCATGACAGACTTGTTTTCTCTCTTGGCAGTCCATGGTATGTTCAATATCTTTCTCCAGTACCACAACTCCAAGGCATTAATTCTTCTTCTGTCATTCTTAGTCATTGTCCAGCATTCTGATGCATAGGAAGTAATTGAGAATACCATGGCTTAGATCAGGTGCACCTTAGTCTCTAGATTGACATCATTGCTCTTTAACACTTTGGAGGGGTCTCTGACAGCAAACTTCCCCAATGTATAAGAAACTGTACTTATACGTAAGTTATAAGCAGGTGCTTTAGGTCTTCTTCCGTTTCAGCAAGCAAGGTTGTGTCATCTCATCTGCATATTATAGGTTAATGAGTCTTCCTTCAGTCTTGATGCCATACTTGTCTTCATAAAGCCCTGATTCCTGAATGATCTGTTCTGTATACAGATTGAAAAGGTACTGGGACAGGATGCATCCCTGATGCACTCCTTTCCTGATTTGAACCTTTGAACCATGCAGTATTTCCTTGCTTTGTTCTGAGGACTGCTTCTTAGTCCAAGGATAGGTTTTGTATAAGCACAATCAAGTGCTCTGAGATTCCCATTTTCCTCAACGTTAGCCACAATTTATTGTGATCCACACAGTAAAATGCCTTTGCATAGTCAGTGAAACACAGATAGACATTCTTCTGGTCTCTCTGCTTTCTGCCAAAAATCCATCCAATTTTAAAGGTTAATGGGCATTTATAAAATTAAACTTCAATCCTAAACTTAGAAATAAGAGACAATTTGAAGAGAGCTGGACATATCTTCCTTTTCTACCAGTAACAAGGTTACAATGCACCAATTACTTTTGTTTCTACCAAATGCTTCCTTGTGTTGTGCCACATATATTATTTTGCCCTAAATATTAGTTTTTACTTATTAATTTATTTAAGACAATATTTTACCTATTGTTACCATTACTTCTGTTCTTTAAATTGTCTCAAATTTAACGTGGAAGCTTCAAGGCAGTTTCTTCAAGGCAGTCTTTCAACATGACCTTATAAGTAGACTAACATCCTTACTCAAATCATCTTTGACATTTTTTTCAATCTAGTTGTTCATAGGTGTAATTGGTAATCATGAGATCACTAAGTTAATAAGTGATGCTTTATTTTTTTTTCTTATGTGTGTACCGTCAAATCGAATCTGACTGGTACAGGAAGGTGATTGTTCCTCCTTCTTCAGCAGAGCGTCTGGTGGATTTGAACTGCGCACCTCTGGGATTGCAATGCAGCCTCTTGCCATTAGGCCACCAGAGCTCGCCAGTGATGCTTTATTTTTATACCTTCTAGTTTGCTCTGGATCCTTAGTTTCTACTCTAACTCCTTCTCAGGGTTTTTTTATAGGAATAATAATATGAAACATAACATGAATAAAAAGTTTATGAAACACAATGTATGTGAATGAAAAAAACCTAAAAACTAAAATAAAAACAAATACGATTCTTGACACTCAAAAAAAATTTGTTGTTGCTTTTTCAGGAAAGAAACATGAATAGGGATACTATGGCTTGAAAATTATAAAGCTCATGAAATTTTTAATCTTATTATTAAGATAACCAAATTGTACACAAGGCAAGAATTTAACACCTGATGTGCTTTTTATGTTTTCAATTTCTGGGGTTCAGTTGCCCATCAAGTTGTGATTTAGGACTTAGTTAGAAAAGGAGAAAGGGAAAAAAATAAAAGATGGTTTTAAAAAAAATTGTGCAACTTTGTCACTTTGGAGGGATTATCCTTTAATATTTAATAGCAATAACTCTGAAGTCAGATGCAAAGGAGATGAAGCTTACCTTCAACTTTCATTAATGACATTATCATTGGGTGGAATATTCAAATCACCAAAACTTTCTGGGATTTTTCTTATTCTTCATAGTACTGTCTTAGATTTATTGGTAAGAATAAATTGTTGTTGCTTGTTGTTTAATGCCGTCGAGCCGTAGACGACTCATAGCTACCCTATGAACGAACAGCCTGAGCACTGTTCATACTTAGAGTTTCTGGAGGCAAACCATTTTGGAAGTGAATAAATTAGATGAAGCATATATAACACAGTGCAGCGTAGAATGATAACCCATTAAATACTATCCATTATTTACTTGCTCTTATTCTAACTTAAGCATGCTGTAAAAGTTGTTTGCTGTAAGAATGTCTCATTATAATCTCCTCTATATTTCAGGATTTGTTTATTTCTTCAGTGGACCATTACAGATTGAGTTTGACCCTAATACTAAGAAGGTGACAAAGCGTGTGAGGGCTAACAGATGGCTAGGCTGTTAAGCATGATATGGAGAAGACAAGACTTAGACACTTGAGGTTAATACATTATTCATCTAATCATTCACTGCATCTGAATGCACAGTGACCAAAGAAGATAGGACTTGATCCAAGGATTTCAATGGATATCATCCTGTATGTCATGAAATATTTATCTGAATGGCTTCAGTTGCATAAAACGGAAGTAGGATATACTCATGAACAACTGACAAGATCTTCACTGATGTTTGATATATTATTTAATAAATATATTTTACTTGTGACATGTTACTTCTCTAGAACTCTTTTCCACTACATTGAGCACACCGTGATGTATCTTTATGGCAGACAGAAGTGGATGCTGTACAATCTCACACTCCAGGGTTGGGATATATGACTGGGACTTGCTCTTTCCCTTTTTAGCTTCTACCCGTAATAGGATTTGATCTTTGCCTCCAAGAGATTGTCTTTCATACACATACACACCTAATTAAGACAGAGCAAAGTCTACAGTTGATCTTTGTCTCTGGCTTTGGGCCGAACTAGGAAATAGAATTCTACAATGTTGGATATTAGACAATCAACAAACTACCTAGTTTACTTCTTCACCTTTTTTTTTGGGGGGGGTGGGTATTTAAAATATATTTGCTTAATTTTTAATCTTTGATATTTTTTCTGAAACTCTCCTTGTCCTAGCAACCAAATTTTTTAAATCTTCTCTTTTTTGAACGAAAATGTCCTCTTCTTATCATTTCACAATCTTTGATCAATGAAAAAGAGCTCTTACAGTGGAAATTTCTGGTCAGTGAGAAAGAGTTCATTTAAACATACAAAATTTGTGGCAGAATTGTCTGCGATAGGTTATACAACGCACATCAGAGAGATATGATACAGGAAACTACTCGTTCTTTTATGAATTTTCTTAAATACAAAGGATTTGCATAGATATTTGGAGCTCTGCTGGCCAAGTGATAACATATTGCACTGCAATCCTGAAGACACGTGTTTTAAGGCCACCAACCACTTGCTGGGAGAAGCATGGGGAAATTTCCTCCCATGCTATTAATTGCCTCTGAAAACCTACTGGAGGGTCAGCTATGGATCAGCTCTGACGCTATGGTAGACATCAACAACAACAAAACAACTTCATAGATATAAGACAGAAAGCAGTGAGATAAGCACATGCAACACAACTTCACTGAGATTTTTATAGTGGGAGTAATAAATTTTAAAAAGAACACGTATTTATCAGGAGTTAGAAATTATGAGTATGCCATTCAATATATGGCAGAATAATATGGAAGAATAATTGTGTTTGGGCTAATAAGTAGATATTAAGAGGGTAAAAATTGAAAAATAACTGTTTAAGTTACATTAGCCAGGTGATTGAGGGATAAGAGAATAGAATATTTTAAGGAGAAAACAACAGCAATCAGAATAGAAGCTCAAAGGTTAAAATCATTGAGGAATGTTCCAGGGGGCCATTTTCACTAGAACTTAGTAAATGGGATACTTTGCTAGTATGGTTTTTGGAATAGGATAATGTTATAAAAAAGTAGACAAAATCTAATAATTCAGAATCTTTTAAAAATGATAAATAATTATAAACTGATCTGGGGATACTTACCTCCATACATGTCCATCCCAGAGACCAACAGCACAAGAGACTTTAGTATACAGAACTACAAGCAGAGAAAAGAATTTTCTTAGCTCTCTGTGAGAGAGAGGGCTGACTTGGGTCTCCCTGCACAGGTTTGAGCTGGCTGTCCTGATCTTCAACCACACTCGAGATAAAGGAAGAAACTAAGTTGCAGAAGAAAAAAGTGATGGAGGTGAGGCTCCCTGTCAAGAACAAGCACTCTCCATTGCTTGCAGGGAGATGAGACTGAGGCATTTCTGGGGATATAGGTCCTTCCATCTGGGGATAGTTGTCTCCTCAGCAGCAAGACCATTTCAATGACCAAACAGAACAGGAGATATTGGGACACAGCGCTACAAAGAAAGACCTTTTCTGCTCTCTTTGTGTGAAAGAGAGCTGACTTGAGATCCCCTGCACACAAGCTGTTTGAACTGGTGGCACTGATCTCTAAATTCTTGCCTATCTAGAGACAAAGGAAGACATTAAGTTTCAAGAGAAAAGGTGCATGAGAAAGTGCTTGAGTAAAGCACCTAGTCTCACACCATTCAGTCACTTCATACATGAAGGAGGACTATAGAGGTGGTGACAAGTTATTGCATCAAGGCAAGATTTCCTACAGGGCTACAGTGCAGAGCAGAGAAAACCTCAAGGAGTTAGTTATTGTTATGTGCTATCAAGTTGCCTGCAACCCATAGCAACCAACCTGCAGGAAAGCAGTTCTGAAGCCTGCCCCATCCTGAGCCAGTCTCACTGATTCCGACACACCAACCTCCATTGCTCCAGTTACTGTATCAAACCATCTCATCCAAGGTCTTCCTCTCCCTCCTGGCCAAGTGCCAAAGTATGTAAGACAGAGCTTCAAAATCTTAGCCTCCAAGGAGAGATTTGGGTTTACCCTCTCCAAGACAGACATATTTTTTTTTCTTGGCAGTCTATGGTATGTTCAAGACTTTTCTCCAGTACCACAACTCGAAAGTACTGATTTATTCTTAGTCATTGTCCCACTTTTGATGCATAGGAAGAAAGTCAGAAGACCGAGGCCTGAATTAGGCTCACCTTAATCTTTAGACTGACGTCTTTGCTTCTTGGTATTCTGGAGAGGTCATTGACAGCAGATTTAGGGAAGGCAAATTTTCCTAGAAACAACTTATAGTAGAGTGAGTAGCTCACCCCATAGACTGAAAATTTTAACTTGGCAACTAATGAGTAATATCATAAACACAAGAACCAACAATAATTTTGGCAGACACGATAGAACGGCCTAACATTTAACAAGAAAAACTTCACATAATGTCAAGAAAGCAGCAGGCAGCTTCAAACACTGTGAAGAAACAAATTAAGCCTTCTCCAAAAAAAGCAGAGAATATTACAGACCTCAAGAATACCACAGAGTCAAGGAGGCATATATATTGATATAGAGACATTTGAAAAGTACTAATAAAAGCACGAATGATGGAAGAAAGAATGGAAGCCACAAATAAAAGGAACAACCTAGATATAAAGAACTAGGAAAAATATACTGATCAGAAGTTATTTGAACAGCTATAGAAGAAGGTGCAATTGATGCAAGAAACAATGATGGAAGAAACAGACATGGATCCAGAAGAAATATATTGATGTGGATGAACTTGTACAACTATAGAAGAAGAGACAAAAAAAAATCGAAGAAAGAATTGAAACTATAGACAAAGAGGTACAAGAACTTAAACATCATCACAAGACAGAGAGGGTACTGCCAACGCAGTACTAGAAATAACAGAAATGCATGATAATACAATCCAGAATACTAAGACTGAAA